AAGCCGCTGAGCCAGAGAGCAGGACAGGCTTTGGTTGCTTCCTCCCTCCCCTTCTTTCATTTGTGTCCTTGATCCCCGATCCCAGCAACATTCACCGAAGGCGAAGAAAGCCGCCATTTTTTTTATTTATTTTTTCTTTGCGGCCCGGTACAGAGTGCTCCACGGACCGGGACCGGTCCACAGCCCGGTGGTTGAGGACCCCTGCCCTAAACAGAGTCAGAGTGTTACAGTAATTCAGCGTGTTTTACTCTGTCTCAATAATTCAGCATGTTTTTAGTCATCCTGTTACAGCCTCTTTCAGCTCAGATAACAGCAGTCATCAAAGCAATAAATCCTTCTCACTCTGTGGATCGGATACCAGCAATTAACCCTTTACTTGCTGACTCTCAGTACTACCTCATTACTTTAATATTTAAACACTGATTACTTCATTACCTCAAAACTTATAAGTTTTCTACCTCAAGACCTATATCAATGATGAGATAATGATGTCTCCAAATCAATTTCTATAAAATAATTAATTTTATCAATTGATTGATTTATTGTTTTGATTGATTAGAGTGTTTAGTGCATATAGTGTGATTAGTGTAAATGATCAGCGATTCCTGTAAATTGATTAGTAAAATTAGTGATTTAGTGAATGTAATTGACCAGTGTGATTAGTGATTAGTGTAATTATTTCAGTACCTAAAGACCAAATATTGATAATGCTTTGTCTAAAATAATTGATCTATCATCTAATAGTATAGCAATTAATTGTTAAATGACCACTAATTTACTGATTCATTGAATTGATAGAGATTTAATACTGTATCATTAATTTAGTCGATTGATTGATTGATTTTTTTAATAATAAGTAACCTTACTTTTGATTTGTTCTCTAACTTATCATTTAACATTTATTAATTACCAACATTCATTAAGTAACTGCCTATCACATTAACTAGCTATTGTAATTGTTTAGTGTACTATTGTCATTGACCATGCCAGCCAAAAACTCCAACTCCTCCACTACCAAACAACAAAAGAATAATATCTCTATCAATGATCTTCCAGACTCCTGCACGTTTCAGATGTCTCGAAACCATCAATGAAAGTGAAAATAACATCAAATGCCACCTACGTGACAATCAAGCCCACCTTGACTGCTTAAACTTAAACAAAAGCCTAGCTGATCTCCTAAAAAAATCAGATACATTCCCTTGTCTATGTTCATCATGTTTTCCTAAGCTAAACAAATTGAGTACCCTGCCTGACAGAGTTGATAGCATAGAATCACTCATTCACTCAATAGAAGAATGCTTAGCAACATGTTTTGAATCAACTATACAAGCCTAATCTCTCTTGAAAAAAAATACAGCACAGATAAGTAAATACCTATCAGCTCAAAATCAAATCCCAACTCAACAACCACTACCACAACTACTACCTCAACTACAATCACAACTACAACAAAAAATAACCACCAAATCACAGCCACAAACAATTACTATCCGATCAAAAAATTCCACAAATGATATCCCCTTACTCATCAGAGACATCATGGAATGTGATCAGAAATGTCCAAATGCCATCTTATTTGGTCTTGAAGACACCAACGAATCAGACGACATCACCAAACTTCGCAATATCATAAGCAACTCAAATACAACAAACATCTCTCCTGAAGATATCATTGAAATAATCAGAGATGGCCCTGAGTTCAAATACAATGACGGCTCTGTGGCCCCAAGATTTTGTAGAGATGTTTGCAAAAATGAGTCCAGCAAACACATATTCATTCACACAATAAACACCATTGCAAAAACAAATTCCAACCACAAAAAACTTCGCTCAAGATCAGACTTATCCATACTGCAAAGAATCCGCTCCCACGAACTCTGCAATGAACTCAAAAGACGTCTAGATAATGGAGAGAAGGATCTCTACATTGACTACCGCGCTGATTGTTTGAAAATAAGTCACACAACCCACAACTCCACATCCAACCCTACCTCATCCAACCCACCATCACTCAAAACTAGGCACGCACGCCCCTAACTACCTCAATTCCAACTACAACTGGCCTTAAATGCAAGCTACTCAATGCAAGAAGCCTTGTGAATAAAATACCTGAATTTCTCCTCTTACTAAATATGGCTAAATTCGACATATTTGTTTGTGAAACATGGCTCAATGCATCTCTCCCTGACTCCATTACCACAATAAGAGACTATCATGTTTACTGATCGGTTCATGAAATCCGTAGAGGAGGTGGTGTTGCTATCTTCTATAGAAAGTCCCTACATCTAAAAAACATCCAAGTTACCCAGGAGCTTGCTCTTCCTGAGACCATAGTCTGTGAACTGTCCTTAAATATCACATTTCGATTTTTACTATGTTAAAGAGCCCCTGATTATGACACCGAACATGTAAATAAGTTAAATTCACTACTAACATGGGCAACATCCTGCCCACATGCTTTTATCTTTCTTAGTGACCTCAATTTATCTCATATTAACTGGACCCTAAATGATTGTAAAACTGAACCCATACATGCAACCTTCTATAATGCTGTAAAAAATCTGGGACTGGAACAACTAGTAACCAACAATACAACTTAATAATACAACTTAATACAACTTAACAACGGCATCGATCTCATCTTCTGCAATAGTTTGAATTCAATTTATGGAATACAAATTAAAGAACCCTTTTCCAACAGTGACCACAACAACAGGGCAAAGCAATAGACACAATTCTACATAGACTTCTGTAAAGCCTTTGATTCAGTGGTACATGACAAACTACTACTAAAACTAAAATCTTATGGTATCTCTGGACAACTGCATAACTGGGTAGAAGCATTCCTGTCAAACAGACAACAAATGGGTCAAAATTGGGAGTGTCCTATCAAATTCTGTACCTGTCAACAGTGGTGTCCCCCAAGGCAGTGTTCTAGGACCAACTCTCTTCATACTCTACATAAATGACTCTTAAGAGCAACTGCGTTCTTTTCGCTGATGATGTAAAGCTATTCAACACCACAGACAATACTGCTACCCTTCAAAAAGACCTTGACTATGTATCAGAATGGTCAAACAATGGCAACATCAAATCTCAACAAATAAATGCTCTGTCTTACATATTGGCAAAAAAAAAAATCAGAAAATAAAATACAAGCTGAATAGTCAAGACCTTGTTGATGATCCAAGATCTGTAAAGGACCTTGGAATACTCATCTCTAATGATCTAAGTGCTAGAGCCACTGTAACTAAATAGCAAAAAAGGCATTAAGAGTTGTTAACCTAACCCTACGTAGCTTTTTCTCTGGTAATATCACACTACTAACTAGCATACGAAACATTTGCTAGACAATACTTGAATACAGCTCATCAATCTGGAACCCGCATTACATATCTGATATTAACACAGTTGAGAAAGTCCAGAAATATTTCACAAGAAGAGTTCTCCACTCCTCTACTCGTTGCAGAATACCTTATGCTACCAGACTTGAAATTCTAGACCTAGAAAACCTAGAACTACGCTGCCTTTGGTCCAATCTAAGTATAGTATATAAAATTATATATTGCAATGTCCTACTTGTCAATGAATACTTCAGCTTCAACCATAACAAGAGCACACAATAGATACAAACTCAAGGTTAACCGCACCAAACTTGATTGCAGGAAATACGATTTCAGCAACAGAGCGGTCAATGTCTGGAATAACTCTACCTGACTCTGGTTTCTTCCCCAAACCCCAAAAACTTTAACCTTCGACTGTCTACTGTTGACCTCACCCCTTTCCTAAGAGATCTGTAGGGGTCGTGCCTACCATCCGTCCTATTGTTTCTTTTTATTTTTCTTATATGTATCCATTTCATGTATTCATAACTATGTTTATACTTATACCTGTTATCTTATAATCGCTTGACAAATAAATATTATTACCAAGATGAATATTACTCAAAAGAATTGTAACCAGACAACACACTGTCTATATGGATTTTGAACATGTTGCTCTTTCTATTTATATTAATAAAAAAGTGAATTCAAAGACATAATTTCAAAGCATTTCTTTCAAAACCCTTATAGAAAATATTTTCTGTTAACTCAGGACAACGCAGGTACCAGTGTCAACACAATGATTGTAGCTGTTCAACCACAGTTCAACCCTGAGCTATCACTATTTTCTTCTATCGATGCTTCGTTTCTTAGCCGAGGGAGCCCGTGTTAATTTTGAAACAAACTGCACATTTTTGCTGTCATTACAGTGCCCGTACATTCTGTTTTTGAAATCTTCGCAAATCCGTCGCTTTCGAAGAAAGGGAAAATCAAATGATCAAACACTTAAAAAATAAACAGCACAAGGAAGTAGTTGGATGTGCACGCCTTCTCACGTCTCCTGCGCGTCCCATCCCACCTCCCCGTCCGGGCGTGGTTTCTCTCTGGTGCACAAGTGGAAAAAGAGGGCGAGCGCGCCGAGTGAAAGGCCGCACGGTAATGTGGGCCAAAAATGGCTGGAGGGGGCCGATAATGGGCTGGAGTGGCGGCGGCGCTTTGCCGGGAGATGGGGTCGGAAGTTATAAGCGTGGCAAGTTCCTACAGGGCGGCCGCTGAGAGACGAGAGAAGTTCGGGCCCTGAAGTCCTTGATCGGGCGAGGAAAGGAGCCCCCGGGAAATACGATCCGATGGTTTCTTCCCCCTTGTTACCCTGGGATGACCGTGGTGGTAATTCTAAATCGATCCTACTCGAAGACTCCCAAGCTCTCTGTTCCCTAGAGGCCGAACTGTTTTCTATAATAGGCATTAATCGTAGTTATTAAGTTAAATAAACATCTTTACATTAGTAATTGGCATTTAACATTGCTGAAATTAATAATTAGCAAAAATATTTTCATAGTATTAAGTAATGAATTTAGGGACCAATTCAAACAAGCAAAAACGGATGTAGGTGTGATTGTATAGTAATGCATATTTATTACCAATAAAAATTAATCCGAACCCATGAGGTAATTTAAATACAGTCAGTGAGAGAGAGATATTCATCCCCAAAAATATAAATCGGCGTCTTCCCCCATTCCCTTCTCTCATCTTTTTGAGATTTCATCAGGCACTACACAGAGTTTGAAATTATATGCTGCTTTAGGGTTGTGAAGTAGGTTGGGCTGAGACAGAATGAATGACTGGCCCAAAGTCACCCAGCTGGCTTTCATGCAGTCTTACTATACCAATTACCCCAACTTCTGTTGGATGACAAATTCTGTCAAGCAAGATGTTAAAAAAAAATCTTAATTGGTCTTGCTGATAACTTTCTTTCAAATGTGAAGGAGGGAAGAAGAGGATCAGTTATCTTTGAATCAATAGTAATCTAGGAACAACTTTGCTGAGCAAGTGGAAATAGCAGAAACATTGGGCCAATATAATGTTATCATTTTTTAATTTTAAGGGAAAACAAAAATGTATAATTATCAAACACATTTTGGGGACTTTTTGTTAAAATAGCAGATTTTAATATATTTAGAGCAATGACAAGTAGAGTTCTATGGCACAAAAAACAAATGGTTTAAACAAGTTCAAATTTTCTGAGAACTTTGAATATTGAAGCATAATTGTGAACTACTTCATTAGGGAAAAAATAATGGAGGACAGCAGAAATGTACCATGTAAAAAGCTTAGTAAACATCCAAAAACAAAAAAGGACAAAACAAAGAAAACAGTCACAAATAGGCAACTTGTAACTATTGGACTGATGTCAAGAAGGTAATACCAGAATCATATGATGTTAGCAAAGAATGCATGCAATGACAAAATAGCATATTCAGAATAAAACGGGTGGGTGTGTCAATATGCTCTTCAGGTTTTTTTTTTACAATGGCTTGTATAAATAGATGCTGTAAATGTTTATCAAATGTGTGATTGACATACATTTGGGTGAAATAAGTAGAGTAGTACTGAAGAAGACAGAAATAAAACAGTAATGAAATGAATATAAGGCAGCAGTGTAATGTGGCTTCAGAACAATCAAATACAATTTAAAGCTGCATCAACTGAAATATAATTATCAAAACAGGAAGCAGTTCTTTTGCCTTTGTTAGATTTCATCACAAGTGTTGTGTCCAGTTTTGGGCAACATACTTTAAGAAAGATACAAAGGCAGGTTCAGAAAAAGGCAATGAGAATGATCTAGGGCCATGATGGCAAACCTATGGCACTCGTGCCGGCATGCGAGAGGTTGCATGGAAGAACCCCACTGCGTGTGCACGCATGCACCACCTGCCTGAAAGCTGATTGTCTTGTATCTGGCACACATGTGCGGGGGCGGGGGGTGCATGGGAGACGCATGCATAGAGATGTGTGGGGCACACGCAGGGTTGTGCGTGCAGGCACACAATGCATGGGGTGGGGGGATTGCACATGCATGCGCAGACACATGACATGCATGGGGGATCACGCGCGCATGCGCAGGGGTGGGGGGGCACATGCATTGCTTTCTGGGTGCTGGCACACAAGCGTACATGCATGAGTGCATGTGCAATTTTCAGCACAGGAGACAAAAAAGGTTAGCCACCACTGATCTAGGGACTGGAAACTATATCCTATGTAGAGAAATTAAAGGAGCATGGTATTTAATCCTGAGAAAAAGTGACAAAAGTATATGTACAGATCATCCTTGCTAAATAATTGTAATTCGGACTGGAATTCCATCACTAAGTGAGGTAATCATAAAGTATGAAATCATTTGATCATGCAATGACTTTTCTAGCAGTCCCCAGTTGCAAGGACTATGAAAGTCATCAAACAACGACTTCCTAAGACTGCAGCTTCTGACTTCCTGCTGGTTTCCTCATTGACTTTGCTTGTCAGAAGCTGAAAGGGAAGGTTGCAAATTGTGAGCACCCTATATCATGATCACATGATTGAGGAGGTGCTGAAATGGCCAGAACATTGAAGACCACCCATAGATATTTGTTCAGCTCCTTTGCAAATTTGAATGTTTGCTGAATGAGTGATCATAAATTGAAGACCACCTGTAATGGAGCTGTCCATATACCTGAAAGGATGTCATTTTCATTTCTATGGGTCATAAGATAATGAAATTAAGTTATAAGAAGGCAGATAGCAATTGCACTGAATGTTAGGGAAAAAACCTTTACTAATAGTAAGAATTCAACAATTGCTTAGTGTGTGGGCTTCCCTTTGGATGAATTCAAGAGGAAGCATAATTTGGATTCCTACAGCAGGGGTCCCCAACCACCGGGCTGCGGTCCGTGGATCACTTTGTACCGGGCCGCAAAGAAAATAAAATAAAATAAATGGCGGCTTTCTTCGCCTTCGGTGAATGCTGCTGGGATCAGGGATCAAGGACACAAATGAAAGAAGGGGAGGGAGGAAGCAACCAAAGCCTGTCCTGCTCTCTGGCTCAGCGGCTTCGGTTTCCTCCCGCCTCGTTCCTCTCTCAGTCGCGATCTCGCTCCTCCACCAGCCCAGGAAGAAACTGCTTCAAAGAAGCCGGCAGGGTGGCTTTTCCTGTCAGCGCAGCTCCTCCGAAGTGCCCGTTCACCCCCACCCCGCCGCCCGCGCGCGGTTGAATCCAGTGCTCCGTTCTGCCTGCCTGCCTGCCTGCCTTCGTTTCTGGTTGTTTGGGAGCAGCTTCGACTGAGAATAATAACTATTCGCCTCTTTTTATCAGCCGAAGCTGCTCCCAAACAACCAGAAACGAAGGCAGGCAGGCAGAACGGAGCACTGGATTGAACCGCGCGCGGGCAGCGGGGTGGGGGTGAACGGGTGCTTCGGAGGAGCTGCGGCGACAGGAAAAGCCACGCTGCCGGCTTCTTTGAAGCAGTTTCTTCCTGGGCTGGTGGAGGAGCGAGAGAGCGACTGAGAGAGGAACGAGGCAGACACCTGAGGGAGGGAGGGAGACACCTGAGGGATGGGGCTGAGGAAGGCAGGGCCGAGAGCCGTGGGCCGCCACCACCCAGCACTCAGTTTTGAAGGCGCTCCTCAGCCCGGCGCAGTTCCTGAATCTGCAGCTGAAACCCTCCATTTTAAATGTCCCAATAGAAGAGAATATCTGTCGCTCAGGGTTGCAATGAGGAGGCATTGGCGCTCCCTGAACTTGATGGTTTGCTGGCAGACGTTTTATTACCCGACTAGGTAACAACATCAGATGTTACCTAGTCAGGTAATGAAACGTCTGCAAGCAAACCACCAAACTCGGACTCCCCCCCCCCCGGGCCTTGAAAAAGTGTTTCTGCTTGAAACTGGTCCCTGGTACAAAAAAGGTTGGGGACCACTGTCCTACAGTATATAGAGCACATGGCTGGATGTGTTGGCCTACAAAGTCTCTTCCACCTGTGTGAGTCTAGGTATAGAAACATTTAGATTGATGCAACAAACTTTTTCTCCTTCTTCCAACAGATAACTATATCAGCATCATCATGCCAAGTCCTAGGAACAGTCCAAAGAGCATTCGTGAGAGACAGGCTTATGGAAGTGGGCTAGAGTTCTTGTCATTGACAAATCAGAGAGGCCCAATATCCCCAGAAAATATGTCTCACCATAAAAACTCTCCTACTAGTACTGGCCCTCAACAGGCTTTACCTGAAGAGGACTGTATGAAGCTCAATCCTTCTTTCTGGGATATTGCCCTGCATTCTCTTATGGCTGTTGATTTGTGGGCCTCTAAACTACTGGGTGTATGTGCTGGAGAGAATTCCCCATGGGGCAGTGGCCGTCCTCTCATGATGGTCATAGAGGTGTCAGGACATGGAATTCCTTGGCTAACTGGTACATTGTACGGGCTTTACAGAAGTGGCAACTCAGCAGGCCGTGAGGTGCTACTCAATCTACTTTTTGGTAAGAGCCGCCTTTACCTTACCCAGGAGGTTTTGTTCCTTATATTTGTTATATTTCTCTTGTGATGATTGGCCCAAGATGTGAATAATATCACAGAGAATGATAGACATAATATTTTCACCTTTCTATCCTTTGATTTTGTTTGTAGATAGTTTCCATAATAGTGAAAATTCTTTTATATGGACATGATGCAGTACTGTTCTCCCAGATTCAGATTGTTTACAAACAGCATTGTGAACTTTGGTTGAACATTGTAATGCAGAAACCCTAGGAATTAATTAAAACAAAACTAAAGTACTAGTGTTAGAAAATGTCCTAAAATGCATATCTGTAAATGAAATAATCATCCAATGCAGGTCAAGTAATTTAAGTATCTTAAAATCATATTTTGTGCCATAATAGGCAAACTATGCATGGAATACATAATACAAACAGCTCAGCCACAGCCCTCCAAATATTCTTCTTTGCCAAAGGGCCATTGTATACTCCTGCTACACTGTGAGTACATTCAGACCATGTTTGGACACAATTATTATTTGGTGCATATGTAGGCCTTAACAAGTACTTTACAAGGGTACATATTAAGTTCCTCAGATCCTATTTAAAATCCTGTGTTGTGTTTCAGTTGTGATATTCCATCATGGTACCAACAGTAAAGTTGAATATATATTTTCAGATACTGAACTAAACTGCTTTTCCTCCTCTAAATCCTCAGGTCCTTAATGACAAGTTTGTTTACTTCTGGTCCATGTATAAAAACCCTGAAACGTTGGGGGGGTTTCCTTAACCCATGTGCACATGCTAGAGCAAGAATTTACTGTAAAGATAGTAATAGCACCTCTTCACACTGGAAGACATCCTTAACTGCTGTGGAAATGTATGCTATTAATAAATCTTTGACATTTAATACTGACCTTTTTAATGTTTGAAAGGCCATTAAAATATTGGAATGTGTTTCAAGTGTACATTCATTTACATTCATTACAAAAAGATTGAAAAACCATCTCTATTATGCTAAAGAACTTCAGGTTTTTTGCTGCATGATAGTAGAAAAAGGTTCTTGAATCTGCTATTTTTCTCAAGATTTGTTTGCTTATTTCAATTTCTCCAAAAGATGCTATAGCGTTTGACTTGATTAATAGTTTTAATGTTCTTGGCTAATTCTTTGGTAGATATATACTTCATTAACTTTGTTTTTCCCCCCCTCAGAATAGTGCAATTACCTACACTGTTGAAAGAGTGCTGTGTATTGTCAATCACTTATTGGCTTTGGAAAGCACAACAGGACAATGACAAGACACTAAGGATAATTACAGATTTAGACAGTATTGGAGCTGAGTCTCCCTAAACTATGAATTGTAGAACATTTTTTACTCCAAATTCAAAAGGCACCAAAATTATGGCAGTATTGGTATTTTGTAGGACATTCAGAATCTTTTTGCACAATTTCCAGAAATGGGCTGCATCAAGCTTTTGAATTGTGTAATGTAGTTTTGAACCTAAAAAATCCTCTAAAACTGAGTAGAAGGCAGGGTGATTACCTAAATTAGGTAACAGTCTGCTTTGCCTCCTGGCCTGCTGCCCTCAAAATGGTTGAGCTGAATGAGAAGAAGCATGATGTCCCAAGATACTTCCTAGAGTTTAACTAGCGGCAACAGCAATAGACTGTGCCAAGACTGCCATGACATGAGGAGCTGGTGGTGGTAGCAGTTGGTTCCAACATTAGAAAAAGCCTATGGGAGATAGATGGGAAGAAGAAGCCTATTAATACAGGCAGTCCTCACTTACAACAGTTCATTTAGTGACTGATTAAAGTTACAACGGCACTGAAAGTGACTTCTGACAGTTGTTCACACGACTGTTGCAGCATCCTCATGTCACTTGATCAAAATTCTGATGCTTGGCAACTGATTCATATTTATGACGATTGCAGTGTCCTGGGATCATGTGATCACCTTTTGTAGTCCCCTGACAAGCAAAGTCAATGAGAAAGTCAGATTCACTTAACAACTGTGTTATTAAACAACTGTAGTGATTCACTTAACAATTATGGCAAGAAAAGTCGCAAAATGGGACAAAATTCACTTAGCAAATGTCTCACTTAGAAGCAGAAATTATGTGGTCAATTGTGGTTGTAAGTTGACCCAGCACATTTTCTCTGTAGACGTAATGACAGTTCAGAAGTACCTGGACAAATGAGCATTGTGGTGAAGTGGACCTAGATGTGGAAATATGCATTAGTTCCTGGGTCAGAATATTGAGAGGTATAATTTCTTAGCTATGGAAAGCCATAGTTATAATATGATTGTAAGCCTACAATTCTGCTGCAAAAGCCAAAATAATCCTATATTTGAACAGACTTCACTAAAACCTAAAATAATGTAATTATTTTGTAATTATTTTGTAATTATTTGGTGTGTAGTGCTATAGAGCACTGCACACCAGAACAACTAGACACAAGAACAGTTTTTCCCCGAACGCCATCACACTGCTAAACAAATAATTCCCTGCTTGTATCCTTATTTATATTGACTGTTTCCTAGTATGATTTGATTGCCTATTTGTACCCTATGACTATATTAAGTATTGTACATTATGATTCTTGACAAATGTATCTTTTCCTTTTATGTACACTGAGAGCATATGCACCAAGACAAATTCCTTGTATGTCTAGTCACACTTGGCCAATAAATTCATTCATTCATTCATTCATTCATTCTACATCTGAAAAGTGAATTCACAGGCAATATTGTTGTTTGCCGGGTTTGAAGCTTTGTAATTTATAGTGTTTCCCTTTATCTGAAAGTTGTTTCTTTGTCTTATCTCACAGCTCTGATTCTTGATCTAGTTTTGGTGGCAGCAGTAAAAGGACTGGTGAAACGAAGACGTCCAGTCCACAACAAGATGGATATGTTTGCCACTGTCTCTGTGGACAAATATTCCTTTCCTTCAGGCCATGCTACCAGAGCCGCCATGGTGTGCAGATTTATATTACATCATCTTGTACTTGCAGTCCCTCTGAGAGTGCTGGCTGTACTTTGGACCTTCATAGTGGGAATCTCTAGGATCATGCTTGGCAGACATAATGTAACAGATGTGGTCTTTGGGCTAATCATGGGCTACATGCAATATAATTTGGTGGAATATTTCTGGTTGTCACCTGTAAATGCTCCTGTCCTCTTTGCCTTGTGGAACTGATGGTTCTTAAGGGAAGAGGGAGAGAGAAGCCTTTGGGGTACGGTTTCACATTCCTTTAAGCTTCTCCGTGCCAAAAGCTTTTGCAAAGGGATGGAAGGCCTGAAGCAGCATGAGATTGCTCCCCCAAAGCCTTTCTCTGTTTGTAAAAGTTTTTGGTGCAGAAAAGATAAACCTTTGGGGCCATGGTCTCATGCTCTTTCAGACTCACAAAGGCTGTTAGATGCCCCCAAAATGGATCAGGTGTCCTACACAGGCAGCCTCAGTAAGTCACACTCAGTCTCTGCTCTTGGAGCATCAGGAGTAGGTGGTTTAGCAGAGTGGCTGGGGGGAGGGGAATCAGGCTATGTGAATAGCAGGCCAGTGCTCACACACATGCATGCAGCTCCACTCATGCATCCTTTGGGGCACCACATGAAAAGTGGAGCTGAGTGCATACATCAGCGTGCCTCTCACGTGGCCCAGTTCTGAATAGGCCACGGCCCGGTAATATGCTGCAGCCTGGGGGTTGGGCACCTGCTCTGGAATACTTTGGTATACAGAGTTCAGGGTTGACTCAATGATTGCAAGGTGGGTGGATCTTGTGGTTGCAAAACAAGCCCAATAATCACACACACACACACACACACACACACACACACAACCATGCTTTACAGTTGATGAGATATTTATGCTGATTTGCTGTGTTTGGTTTTCACCAAATGTAGTATGTGCATTATGGCTAATTTTCTCCACTTAGGTCTCATCTGTCCAGGCAATGTTCCAGAAGTCTTGTGATTTGTTCACATGCAACTTTGCAAACCTAAGCTTGCCATGTTCTTTTTAGAGAGAATAGGCTTTCTCCTGGCAATCCTTGCAAAGAACACTATATTGGTGTTTTTCTAATTGTATTGTATTGTTAATGAACTTGTAAGATTTAACACACTAACTGAAGCCTATAGAGTCTGAGATGTAACTCTTGGATTTTTTTTACAATATCCTGAGTGTTGCATGATCTGACCTTGGAGTGAATTTGCTGAGATATCTATTCCTGGAAAGATTGACAATTGTCTTGAATATTTTCCACTTGTGAATAATCTTTCACTTTAGAATGATGGACTTTTAAGTAATTTAGAAATGGCCTTATACTCTTTCCCAGATTAATGGGCAGCAACAAATGCTTTTCTAAAATAATTGATGTCTTTCCTCTTTGGCATTATGTTAACACACACCTCAACACTGGAGATCAGCAAACACCTAAAACTTGGGCTTTTATAGAGGGTAGTGACACTTGCTGATGATCAATTGATTAAGAGCACCCAATTAGCATCTGGATGCTACTTAGCCATACCTATGGAAGCAGTAAGGGTGTACTTACTTTCACACGTGGCTTTTCCATTTTGCCTTTCTTTTTGTAAAATAGATGATGATATGGTGTAATATGTGTACATCTGATATTGTATTTTCCTATTTTTAAGAACTAAAGCTCAGATAATTTTTACTATGTCCTGATACGTAAAACCATAGAACTGAAAGGTGAACTTTCTTTTTCACATAACTGTAGCTTTTGTTGCAGCTGCTTTCCTATCAGAAATATAAATGGTGAAAAAATAAGATTTCATTTTCCAGACATATTTTAGTTGCATTAGGAAAAGGAAGTGAGCTATTTAATCAGTCCATCAAAGATTAGAAGGAAGACAAATCTAGAATACCTCTGAAAGCATTCTATATGACAGAAAAATTTATACTTCAGTGATGCTAGAATATATATACATTAAAAACCAGTTAAAATATTCTCAGTTGTAGACCTTTAATGTGTTTTATTAGGTATTTTTAAAACAATTTCATGTGACCAACCTGATTTTTCAATCATTTTTGCAGTAATCATTAAGTGAATCACTATGGTTGTTAAACAAACCCATGATTGTTAAGCAAATGCCAGACATTAAGTAAACCAGTGGTTTGATAGCAGTGTGGTTTTGCCACTTTTCAGCAAAACCATCATAAAATGCAACTATATGACTCTGGGATCCTGCAAGTAGCTATAGAGGCAGCTGGTTCAATCAAAAGGTCAAAATTCAATCCAGAATTCAAACAGCCAAGACAAGTTTGTCATCCAATCCAAAGACTAAGATTTCTTGTTTAAACAAAATATATTGGAACAGTTTATATTTTCCTTGCATCATAATAAATTGTATACATGGGAATCATTCTTGCTTGAATTTGATTAAATTTTCTATTGTGAATATATGCTATTGATTTTTTTTCCAGATTTAAGCACCCTGTCAGATATTGTCAGAATTGTGTCTTTTATCCAATATTGGGCTAAATGTATTCTCAATACAGCAAGCATGTATGAATAAATGATGCTTTTTGTTAATATACACTGGAATTATAGTAAAAAATAATCTCCACACTTTCTTAATAATATGTATATCTTTTCAAGTACTATGGAGCTTTACCATGTTGTGTTAAATATTTCCCTTTTTGTCATGGCATTTCCAATGTTTATTACTATATGATTTATCTATCTTGGAGATTATAGATGTTGTGTATCAGCTATTAAAATATTTTATACCAATTTTCTCTTTATTATGTAGATTTTATATTTGTTTTGTCTCTGTCTCTGTCCTATCTACATAGGATTTCTATATCCACTCTATCTGGTGGTATTGGTTTTGTATGAGCATTGCAAATGCTGTCATTTTTGTCCCTCCTTAATATGAAAATTTTATCCTTCCAACAACTTGTAAAGCATCACCTGTGGTGTATTGTGGCCTTCACTGAATATATTTCTTACTGTGTCTTTAATCTATTCAATGAATCTGCATGGGCCATGTCTTCATATATGATTATATTTTTCTTACTTACTGTAATTATGTCCAGGGTGAAAAGCATTTGAAAGAAAAGATAATGGTGTAATTGTTGGGTGTACTATTTTCCTTATGGAATCCCATGATTTTATCAAACTGTTATCTGATTACAGGTAGCTGTGACTTACAGAAATTCATTTAGTGACCATTCAAAGTTACAATGGCACTGAAAATAGTGACATGACTATTTTTCACACTTCTAGCATGCAGCATTCCCATAGTCACATGCTCAGAATTTGGATGCTTGGCAACTGACATGTATGACGGATGCAGTATCCTGGGGTCATGTGATCACCTTTTGTGACCGTCTGACAAGCAAAGTGAGGAAGCCAGAATTGCTTAACCACCATTTTACTAACTTAACATCTGCAGTAATTCACTTAACAACTGTTGCAAGAAAGGTCATAAAATGGGAAAAAATCACTTAACTGTCTTGCTTAATAGTGGAAATTTTGGGCTCAATTACACTGATAAGTTGAGGACTACTTGCATATTGTATGTCCTTTTATATTCTTTGCATCTTGTTACTATAAGTATATAAAATCCATTGGCTAGGCCAGCTCCTTCCAAATTATAATGAATAATTTAAAATTTTGAGGAGCAAGTCTTCCTCCGTCTTTTGAATCTTGTAAAATTTTTAACTTTTTTGCCATAATTTAGCATAATTTAATTTTGATATATATTTTGCTAAGCATTAATTGCCTTAATCCTACATTTCAAATCTGCCATTCATTTCAGTTTTAGGAACACCAAGGTATATACCTAATTTGCATTAGGTATAATATTTATTCTGAGTTTGATTCAACATCTATTATAAAGTATATAATATCCATTATTTTCTCTATAGCAGGAGTGTCAAAATCAAGGCCCGTGGGCCAAATCTGGCCCACAAGGTGGTTAAATCCGGCCTGCAGTTCTGCCCTGGAAATAGCGAAAGACTGGCCCACGGCACCTTGGCCTGGACCAGGCCAATCAGGCGCTGATCTGCCACCTGGAGGTGGCCATCCAGGCCAGACTGCAATCAATCTTAGATCCATGGTCCTGCGTCTGCTCTTCCCCTGGGCACGCACAGAAAAGGCGGTGAGCGCATGGGACCTGGAATCCTGAGGACTGTGTGCTCAGCGCTTCCCTTCACCCAGGACGCCAGCCCTTGTGCGCTCGTGCCTCCTGTGCACACACCCAGGGGGTGGGGCTGAAGCAGTGCTGCACATCGGGTGGGATTCAAATTTTGTAACAACTGGTTCTATGGGCGTCGCTTAATTTGTGGGTGTGGCTTGGTCACATGACTGAGTGTGGTTTGGTCATGTGACGATGGGTGTGGCTTAGTGGCCATGTGACTGGGTGAATTGGAATCCTACTGTGCTAACTTCATTCTGAAGTTCAATATCTAGGGCTCTTTCTATAGTTATTCTCTTACCTGAGTGTAAAGGAGTTGTTGTTCAAGTGACAAGTGACAAAAATTATCATAATGGGTAATCCCCCCCCCCCCCATTTGCTTCTTGCCATAAGAATTAAAATTGACTTTCCAGGACAAATGGAACCTATATTGAAGGAGAAATTGGCATCTAAATTAATATTTACAATAATGCATGCACCTCTACTTTTTATTGTCCTAATTCACTCTCCATGTGTATCTAGGTACTTGGAAAAGAATTCTCAAAACATGTTATGACCTTAAGTGATTTATAATAGGAAAATAGTTCCAGTTGCATTGGAGCCATAGTTTTTGCAATGATAGACTATCACTGCTAGGATATTTATAGGCACTGATATAATGGTATGTGGGAATGACCTTGAGAGACAGGGTAAAGAGACACAACTGGTAAGAGGTAGATGAGCCTACAACAGGAATGTGGGCAAAGCAAGTGACTAAGAAGACACTCCCTGCAGTAGTAGGATGCAAAAATTTTCACTACCGGTTCTGTGGGCGTGATTTAGTGAGTGTGGTTGGGTGGCCATGTGACTGAGTGGGTGTGGCTAACACAACATCACTCATGGCAAGGTGGGGCAGCACCTTGCTGTGAGTGAGGTCGAGTTGGCCATGCCAACTCAGTCACATGACCTATGCTGCAGAGACAGGGTGATTTCCTACATAGCTTCCCCCCCTGCCCTTGGGATGACAAAAGCCCATCTAAAGATCACTAGCGCAAGGAGTGTGAAGGGAGGTAGACACTGCGCCTCTGAGGAAAGATATAAAAAGCTATTTTTGTTCTCGGCTTCTTCCATGGGGGCTGAGGAGTGACAATGAACAATCAGCAAAGTCTTCCAAAGAGGGAGGTTTAGGGTGAGTTACTGGGGAGGGGGCAGCATGGGAGGGGGTGCTTTGGCATGCAGTGGGGATAAAGGAACAACTGTTCGGTCTCTCGCCTACAAAAACAAGGATGGGAGTCTTTCCAAGCAAGCTACAAGCAGCAGCAGAGAGTCTAAAACTT